TCAATGAATATAATGATTTCAAGAATAAAGACTCTACATACTGGGATGACTTGGACATGGATGAGATGGAACAAGGGTTGAAAGAAACAGAGTTTGAGATAAAGGCTGAAAAGCTTTTTTATCAAGGAAGAGCATATCAGCTTCAGCAGCCTAGCTTGGAGAAGATAGAAGACAGAATAAAAAAGGAATAGAAATTCGTTAACCACTGTTGGAACAAGTTCCATGACCTTGCCATTTTCTCTATTCCTTATTTTTATGAAATTGAATATGTAGCCAAAAAGGCCTTCTGATGTAATTAATTTCATCTTAATAAAGCTAGGCTTTCCTTTATTTATTCGGCATGGTCTGATTTCATTCTGTTTATCCAAAATGAACAAAATCAAAGTTTCGAATTTACCAATTTTGTCCTTCGTAACTTGATTTAAACATATTCAATGGAATACTAGAGACCTAATTTGAACTTCTCCAGCATATGGAGTGTAATTGACAATTTTCCCAATCATATGGTTAATACACTCAACAGTTTCGAATCAACTATTTTTGCTTCGAACAAACAGTCTACATTTTCCGACGTATGGAAACTTCCTTTAAGGACTGCACTGTTTCATTCTAAAAGAGTGATTCCTTTTATATACTACTAAACCAACTATTGGTTTTACGTCACTTCAAAGCCTATAATAAACAAATTCTAACCGTAAGATATTTTAAACTTTGCTTCGAAGGATTTTACTTTCACTAAGAGACCTAAAAACAGGTCTTTAATCCTTTCGAAATAAACAAATACCTGGGCACTCCTGCACTCATAGGTGTGAAATGTGCTTCGAAGTCAACTTCCTGCTTTCGAAGCTGTTTGTAACTTGATTTTGGCGCCAAAGCTTAACTTCGAAGCCAAACATTTGATTTCGAAGCCAATATTAGTATTTAAGATACGTTTCTCTCCCAAATTATCAATATTGAGAGAAACCTTTCGCATCCGTACCTTTAGCACTTCTTACGAATTCAACCCACTTAAAACGATTGGGTATTTTCTTAGACAGAAAGGTTTAAAAACCCTTTTATTTCGTGCTGTTAATTCACTTGTTTGCCTAACACAAACCCTTCGTCTCTATTGACTTTCTCTTTCCTCTGGCCTAGGCCAAGTTCTCCTTCTGTTTCACTGTCACTTTCCATCAAAGTTTTTTCAAGACCTGCCAAGCTAGATCTTTCTTTGGTTTTCAGTTCAGAGTGAACTTTAGCCAACTGCTCTTTGCTGAAACTTCTTATATTTTGAGGAGTCGATTTTGGACTATGGTCCAATTTTGGATTTTCTCTTTCTTCTGTCTAGGCTTTTGGCTGGGCCAATGAAGAACTTTCCCCACTTTCTTTCAGATCCTTTTGGTACTGAGTGTACTTTCGTTGGATCTTCCTTCTTTGGGACCTAGAAATTACTGGAACCATGTCTGGTTCCTTTGTTTATGGGTGCTTTAGTAACACCTTTGGAGCCACCAAGGGAGGTTTAACCATTCTACTCTGGTCCCCAACAACATTTCTCAGTGTAGGCATTTCTCTAGGCTTATTTTGCATTATAAACCAATCTGGAACCCTAAGTATCCATGAATTCACTAACTCAATTGCTGAACTAGCTCTTTCTGCCTTCGAGGCTTGCTTCGAAGCTGTCTGTGGAAGTCCTTGCTTGGCCCTGATCCCTTGGCTTGGGCCTACTTCAGGCCTTCCATGGTGGCTACTTTCTATCTTGTGTGAGGCTGATCTAGGGAGCCAATCTCTGGCTTTGACCCCAGGACATTCTAGGCGTGACTATTCACCTTCAAGTAGATGCCAACCTTCTTTTGTTTTCTATATTAATAGGTACATGTTATTCCTCATATCATGCCTTCTGATTTGAAAATATTACCATGGAAAAAAAGGATTCAAGCCATCCTGTAGTTTGAATAATTACAATAACCTCCCCTGCTTTACCTGACAATGTCAAGATTCCCCCTTTTGTTGACTTCCGTTTATTTATTTCACAGAAAAAGCTGATGTCATCAAAGCCAAACATTAAAATGTCTATAATGCCCTCAAGTGTCCTCAACCCATCTATGTCCGGAACAGTGTATTTTCTGAGAAAATGGTGGATAGTTTCCTTTGCCTTCATTTTGTGACTGCTAACTCCATTACCATCTCTCTCTCTCTCTCACACTCTCTCATAAATCTTCAAAAATGTCTTCTCAAATGCGTACCTAACTAAAGTAGTACTTTCATTGATTGAATTCATTCCAAAAGCTAAATTAGTTTCTCTCTCATGATCAACCTTACTTCTCTCCCTAATTTTCTCGCGTTTTTGCTGTAAAATCCAAAACCCACCACAACCCAGAAACAAAACAAACCCACAACCTATCACAACTACACAAATCACAATGGTTCTAACTCTACCATTCGAATTGCTCAAATCAGAAAAATCAAAACCAAACAGATAGTTGGCAGTAACTTCATCGGTTGGGCCGAAACGATTGATAAACACCGCGGCGTAAATCGAAGGGTACGCCATGCAATCGGAGAGGTTTCCAATTGATCGGCCGTTCAAATTCGAAGGCTTGAGGCTCGAGAGACTGGTGGTGCAAGAAGCGCACGGCCAACCGTTACCAAGAGATTGATTACACGCCTTCACGGCATCGTCTAACGCCGATTTCGAAACATTGCCTTCGAATGCATCAAGAGTAGTGATGTTCATACAACCCTCGGCGATCCAAGAGGCCTGGAAACTGCAGATTTGTGAATATCATTGAAATTGGGGAAGAAATCGTTTATTAGGGTTTGGTATGAAACCCAACAAGACTCGGCGGAGTCAATCGGAGGAAGAAAATTGTTGGCGATTCGGAGATAATCGGACTGAATGATTCGGAGACCGACCTTGATGTAGTGACAAGAGACGAAATCAGAGTCGAGTTTTGGACGATTTGAGGATTGAATGAGTCGGCGAAGGACGTCGAAATCAAGAGGACATGATGAGGCTGTGGTGTGGAGGTGGCGGGCGGCAGAGGCAGTGGTGGAGGAGGAAGAGGAGAAAAGAGAGAGGTGGAGTTGTAGAGAGAGAAAGAGGAGGAAGATAAGGGACATCTGGGGAGTGATTTAGAGAATTCAGATTACAGTGCTGTTGCAATTGGAAACTAAAGTGAAGTTGGGATTGGGGGATGAGATGAGATGAGAGAGAACAAAATTGGTATGGATAAAATTTTTCTATGGAGATAGAACTGTGGTAAATGAAGCTTGAATAAACCAGACATTTAATTTATTTGTTTTGTAACACCTTATCGTGTGAGGTCTTATGTTCAGTTTTAATAGAGAAAAGTTTGATATTTATTGTGATGGTGATTAATTTCTCTCCTATTGTGTGGATTATATGTAGTGGTTGTTAAATTTGGACTTGGTTGGTATATTCATTGTGTTAGGCTTTATTGACTTTAACTATTATGAATTAATAATCTGTTTAATTATATAAATATTTTATATTTAAATAAACTCTCGTATTGGTTGGGAAAAAATAAAAATAAATAAAAAGCTTGCAGTTATAGGAAGAACGACTTTAAAAAAAAAAAACAAGAATTCCTAAATTAAGCAAACATTGGCAAGTAAGTCATATTCATGTTGTGGTAATGTAGACAATCTAAGTAAGGGGAAGTCTTTGGATGTGTAAGGTGTATGTTATATGTATTTGTATAAGTTTTTATAAATATGTATAAATTATTTTATAAAATTATATAAATTTTTACAAATATCAGTAAGTTAAGACATAAAAATTTAAGAAATCACAACTTATATATATTTATAAAAACTTATATAATTTTATGAGATAACTTGTATATATTTGTAAAAACTTACACAAGTATATATGGTACCTATCTGCTACACCAAAACGCTTCTTTAAAAAATGTATTTGTTAACGTAGATAGTAAAGAGTGCATTTCTTGAATTATTAGATCAACTTAAACCTTATAATTTGTGTAAAATAAGCTTATTAGGCTTATAAAATATAAATTAATTACTAAAATTTGTATTAAAATTATTTTGACCATCTTTACCTTTTTTCTAATACTTTTAATCGTAAGAGTTTTTTTTTTTTTTTTTTCACTTTCACCTACGTTTTTATTTTTACTTTTTGGCTAAATTTATTTTTCTTGCCAAATCATATTAAATTAATATTTGTGCCTTTCTAAATTTTTCTCTTTTATTTCCTTTCAGTATGAAGTTCCATTTTGTGGCAGAGGGGCTATTTGGGAATCTCCTAAAAAAA